CCCCCCCCCCCCCCCCCGCTGTGTGTGTGGGGGGGGGGGGGGGGGGAGCTTTTCACAAGAAACTTTTTTATACCCTACTCTATGGACTACTATTATTGAAAGATGCACAGTTTTCCATTGTGCACTTGACATCACTGTTGTGGATTGTCAGTTTAATTGCAGTCATTTCCCCGTCGTTGTGAGTTTTTTTGCTACACAGGAGCAACACCACAAACATTTACAAGAAGTAACTGTTTGACAGTGCATTACTTGAAAATACTTTTAACTTTCCTCCTTTCCCTCCTCCTCCTCTGAACACCCAATAACTATTGTGGGGCTGGCAAGAGATGATGGAATCCTAGGCTCTCATCCTGAACATGTGTATGCTTCACATTAATTACATGGGCAGTTTCTCTAGGTAGGGGTTAGTCTCTCTCACTACAGGTCTAAAATTACTAACAGAAGAATGTTGTTAAGTGATATTCTATATTGACCAGTGCGTGCTCTTATCAATACAGGAGAGACTTACCACTTCATCATGATAAAGTAACAATAAATACTTTACTTTCTAGATGCTTTTATATGTTTTAGGCCACAGTCCAGCAAACACTTAGGCATCTGTTAAAATGTAAGCATTTGAATAGTTCCACTGACTGTAATGGGATTACTTGTGTTTAAAGTTAAGCATATTCACAAGTACTTGAGCATTATAGGGCTTAGTAAATATCAGCCTTTAATGATATTTTTCAGGCTGGTTAATGAAACCCACTAAAAAAACAACTAGTTCAACAGATGCCTATCGAAATGTGAGACAGAAACTTGTGACTGAAATGAAAGCAGAAAACATCAAGCAGTTTCTTCGGTAAACTTTGCACTTTTTGGTTTTCAAATAATTATATCAACCACAAAAGCCATAAATTGTAACAGTAGCCCTAGAGCATTAGTTGGCTGTGTTATTACATCTTTTATGTTTTGGGATTACTTGGTTTGTGCACAGTATTGAAAAAAGAAACAGAACACATGATCTCATTACAATGTTTTTTCAAAGTTGATGTTTTAGAAATTATTATACACCGAAGTGTCCTTTCCTCAAATTAGATGGATGAAGCTTGTGAAGTAGAGAATATGATTTTATATATAAAAATCTCCATTTACACATGTAAAAGGTTTTTTTGTGATATACTTGCTAAATAAATGTATATTTTAAAGATATACATATATTTGAATGACCGCAAAGACAAAACTTATATACACCCAGAGTATTGAAAAATCTCTGGTTTGAACAATACCATTTTCTCATTAAAAATTCATGCTGTTAGTTATGTTGCTTTTATTAAGATCATCTATGCATGTCTGTAAGTTCTCTATTTTTTATACGAAAGCTTTTCCATTACCGGAACTCCAGCCAGTATAACATTTCCCTCTGTACCTTACATTACTTAAGTCCTACCATCAATAAAGAACACTGCTTTAGTCTCAGTCATATGCCCTGGAAAAAGAAAATGTTTTATGTGTTGCAGATGGATAGCTATTACTTGATAAGTAATATAGCTAGTGATTCATTAATCTCTGTGTTTCGACATCCAGTGATCCAATTAGGACAAAGTAGAAAGCAATTCATCAGATAGGAATATATTAACCATGGAAAAATGAAATTTAACTTTCTATACAAGTACTCTGTATATAGGGGCTGGATGGTATCCCTTTAAATGGTGGGTGAGCCCTTTAGTGGCCTTCCATGTAGGGTTGCCAGATGGTTCAACAAAAATACAGGACACACTTGACATTACATCACAATCTACATTACGTCTTATTTAGAAAATACCGAACATTTATATTTTCTCAATTTGTTTCCAGAACAGAAAGCTCAAATACTGGACTGTCCGGTTCAAAATTGGACATCTGGCAGCCCTACTTCCATGTCTTTCGTGTTTCAAAAGCCAACAGGACACAGTACCCTTGTTGGAGCATATGTAACTAGGTCTTGCATATTGTGCATCATTAGTAAGCTGGATTATTTGGATCCCATGGTGCTGTGTGCTTCCTTCATGCTAAGTTTGTTATGTGAAGAGCAAAAGACACATCAGTAGCCTTTACATCTGTCAGGAATGTCACTGGAAATGAATACAATGGCTCTTGCACATATTTACTTTCAGATAATGTAATCGAACATATCCCAAAGGCCAATGTAAATCAACTTTGGTTAGTAACATATGTTAAGACTGTGAGGATGTAGCTCATGACAACTCATGACTATTTTGATTTCTAAACATGTATTTATTTTATACTTAAGTGCTTTTCCTTCTTACATGAATTAGAGCCCATTAAATACATAATTTAGACCTTGTCTTGTTGTTGCTCACAGTAAACTTGAAAGTTCAATTTCTAAGTGAGAAAGAAAGGAGGAGGAAGGGAGAGCATACAAAAGTCTTAGAAGTATACACCCAAAAAACAGTGTGGAATTTCTCTGTAATTATGCTGAAGTCTTTTGGGCACAGAGGATGATCAGTATCTAGTCTGCTTACTTTCATCATGCCAGAAAACCTTCTATACATTTTTGCTAAATCAAACTAAAAAGCAGGAATTGCAGAAATGTTTATGTTAATTCACTATCCAAAGACTGTTTTAACTGTGTTGTAAATTAAATACAAAATTAAGGCTTCCACATTACACCCTCATTCCCTGAAGCTATTCAGTCAGCCTGCATCGGGTGGGAAAAGCAAAACTTCAGCATCAGAAAACCAGGAAATGTGGAGGTAAAAGTAATAACTCCTATATCATATAACCTAAAAGATGCACGCATTTGATCACTGCTCTGGGGAGAGTGACACCACAAAAAAAAAAAACATGAAGTGAACTCTAATATACCTTTAAAAATCATTTTAATATATGACCAAAAGCATTAATATCATCTTCATCATTGTGTTCCCATTATGACTCTGGTGTTTAAGCCAACTGCTTTTCTAGGTCCCTGGACTAGGTAGGGGGAGCACGTGGCCAGTCCATCTCTATTGCTTTCTGGAAATGAGGGTGCTCATATCCTCTTGGCTGCACAGTGTCAATCGATATTGGTTTGAGATTGTTTTGGGTCAAAAAGATAACAGAGGATTTTTCTGAGGCACGCTGTATGGGATGGAGATAGTTTGGGTATGTCATATTTTCTCATTTCCCAGCATTAACATAGAGCAACCATAATTGTATGGATATTGCATGGAGCCTTTGGGTGCTTATGTAGGTGCATTTCTATACCTTAACATATGGATTTCTTTTAACTTTGAAGTTTCTGGCATTATTTTTTTGGGGGGGAGGGGATAACCCTACATTACTGATATGTAACTTAATTTAATATATTTTGTTTAGAATATCGGTATCCCATATCCGTAAAGGTATATAAGCATCTAACCCCCTTGGATTTGAACAGGTGAGTACTAACAGGGAGTTTTGAGAGGGAGTTCTCCAGGTGAAGGAGAAGCAGATACAGAACTCTTGAGGGAAGTGTGTTTTGTTATTGGGGCTTTCTACCTGTGAGCTGAGCTTGTGTTTGTTTGGTGTGTGCTGGTGTGGTTTTTTTTCCCCCCTGTTTGAGTGAGGCTTCAGAGAGGGAGTTCTCCAGGTAGAGAAGAAGCAGATACAGGAGTCTTGAGGGAAGTGGGTGTTGTGTTTGGGGTTTTCTTGCTGTGTGCTGGGCTTGTGTTTGTGAGTGAGGGTCGGTGTGTGTTCTTTTTTGTTTTTTGTTTATTTATTTATTTATTTATTTTCCCCTGTGTTTGAGAGTGAGGCTTTTTTTTTTCTTTTCCCCACCTCCCCTCTGCCCTCCTCCTCCCCTTGATGGAGTTTGTGCTGTGATTGGCTGTGATTGGCAGGTGGAAACTGTTGGCTTCTAATTAAAGTTTGAATTCTAGAAGCCTCTGCTGATTGGCTGAGCCTTGGTAGGGGGAGGGGCTTTACAAGGCAGTGGGCAAGCGACCAATGAGCTTGCAAACAGGTAAGTGCTAACAGGGAGTTTTGAGAGGGAGTTTGGAAGGGGAGAGGGAAGGGGGCGAGGGTCTCTTGCCTTTCTTTTTAAATCCCTTTTCCAGGACAGCAGCGATGGTTGGTGATGGGTCTGCTGTTGTTACCTGCACAGCGTGTGCCATGTTTGTCTTCCTCCCGGAAGAAAGAATGGATTTCATCTGCACCAAGTGCAAGCTGGTTGACATTTTGGAAGAAAAAATTAGAGGACTGGAGGCCCAAGTGTCGACCCTACGCTTGATCAGAGACGATGAAGACTTCCTCGATAGAAGGCAGCATTTAATCCTTCAAGCACGGCAGGCAGAAGAGCCAGAGAGGGCAGTATGTGACCAAGAAGAGAACTGGCAGCATGTAACTTCTAGAAGGAGAGAAAGGCCAGCACAGGAATCCCCCGATGCTATAGAGGTAAGCAATCGCTTTCAAGCTTTCTCCGCAGGCTCTGCAGTGCTGAAAGCTCTGGAAGGGACCTCACAAGGAAGAAACCAGAAGGGAACACCATCTACTGGAAGGCATGGGATGCGTAGTCCTACAGATGGGGGTTCCACGGCCACCCCCCCCAAAAGGAAACGACGGGTGGTGGTGGTCGGGGACTCCCTCCTAAGAGGGACTGAGCCATCCCTCTGCCGTCTGGACCTGGAATCTCGAGAGGTGTGCTGCTTACCAGGAGCTCGCATTCAAGATGTCACTGAGAGGCTTACCAAGCTGATCAAACCTTCGGATCACTACCCCTTTCTGCTTCTCCATGTGGGAACTAATGATACGGCCAAGAATGATCTTGAGCGTGTTACTGCGGATTATGTAGCGCTAGGAAGAAGGATCCAAGAATT